GTTAGTAACTGGTAGTCATTGGGTTAAAGACCATGTTACCATGATGCCTTTACTGGCAAAACCATGATTGTTAATAAATGAGGCTTTTGTGAAATGTACAATTGTCTTTGTTTTTTCCCTTAATTAAATTACTTTATTAATAATGTATATCAATAAACTTGGCATTAAAATGTAATTTATAATTCAAAGTTTTATACTGTTAAAGTTGAAATTTCTTAATTCAAAAGAAACATTTAAATAAATTCTCACTCTTCACTTCCCTGTGTCATGTGACCTTCTGCACTGTGAATTATTCTTTTTAGATTATAAGTTTTCCATTATATGGTTTCAATGTAGCCACAATTAGATAAACTATAGATAATAACAGGCCAGAATATAAAATAAGAACCTAGCATCATCTTTATTTTTGATATATTAATAAGAGGTACACAGAGTCAGAGCACAATATGTTGTAATGGATGATTCTCAGAGAAGGGAACTAGTAATAACAAATGACTTGACATGCTGTTGTGACTAAGGCACCTACATCCCCATTTGAAAGTACTGATCAAGTCAGTGGGCACTCAGAAAAAATTGAAAAGATCCAGGCAGATTGACTAAAGCACAGGTTCTATAATTCTAGAATAGTGCACTAGGAACATCATATATGATCAGAAAAAGATAAAGAAAAAAGCTTCATATTTGTTGGAGATATAAAACATCATAAGGAGAATGGGAATCTGTCAGGTTTTTGAATAGATTCTTTACAGTAGGTGTCTGAATTGTTGGCACTAAATTTTAACAATAAACAGACAGCACCCAATCCACTTGTTTTAAAATAATATATGTTTAAAACAAGTCAAACACATGTACAAAAATTTATTACATTATTGTTTACCATAGTTGAATCTAAAGCTTTAACTAATTCTCTTTTTTTTCATCAAACATCCAAACAGATTGGTTCAATTACTTTAGAACCTAATTAACAAGAAGAATTATTTCTTCTCTCTTCTATTATCACAATACAATCAATGATAATTTCACTTATGTTACCCCATTGGTTACATACAGTTGTATCCAGAACTTTAAATCATTCTTTTTTACATCAAAAGAGCACACAGGCTGGTTCAATTATTTTAGAAGTATTTTTCCTCTGTGTCTCAGTTGTTACAATACAAGCTGTGAAATTGTATCCAGAGCTTTAAATAATTGTTTCTTTTTTGTCAAAGTCCACACAGGCGGGTTCAATTGCTTTAGAACACCCTTTGACAAAACAAATTCTTCTTCTTTATCTCTGTTGTTACAATACAAACTGTGAAACTCACTTTAGATATTGCCCACTATGGCTAAACTGACAATCATAATTAATTACCTTCACTTTTACTTTCACTAACCTAGTTTAACTTCTCTGTATCTGGATGTATTTATAACACATGACAGAAAAATCTACAAATATCTAGCCCTCTAGTAACAAAAATATTAAGCATAATAAGAAAAACGTAGAAGCTTTGAGTAAGATGATGTCAACAATATTACAAAACCCTAGTATAACAATTAAACTAGATATACAATGTACAACTCCTACAGAGTTACGTAATGAAACTTGTTATAACTATTGCTTTTAAAATAATTAACTTTTAACACTCTTGTTAGGAAAATTAAATAATTCTTAAAGATTAAATCACTAAATAATAACTCTTTTAAACTGAACAGTCTTAAATGCTATGCAAGGACATGCACATGGAAGGGGAAAAGATACTTCCCAAGTTATCATCAGCCACCAGATATCATTCTCTGTCTACTTTCAGAAGGTATCCCTCTCTCATGGTGCAAAAGCACAGAGGGTGTAATTCTGTCAAACAATTGCAGAGGTATAGCTAACATACAATAGTCCCAATTGTACATATCGATTGAAACACAGAATCTCACATTATAAGAAAAATTTTTGCTTACTTTTTTTTATCACAAAACCAAAACATAAAGAAAAAAAGCATTTTGTTAAGGAGTCAGCAATAGATAAGAAATTGTATTTCTAATGTACTAACTCTATAAAAGGTAGCCCAGTAGGATAGGTAAACATCCAAGGAAAACATTAGCAAGAATGAGTGAACAGTTGAGTCACATGGCTTTTAAAACAAAGAATTAAACAGCAGCTAGCCATGAAGTCATAGACGTTGAATATCATTGTGGAAATGGAATGTTACTGGTTACTGAAAACAATGTTCTCATGGTGGTAGTAGAACTGATTCCTAATGATAAAGTTCTCATAATAGTTGAACTGGTCAAAATGAAACAATGAGGAATCACTTGAAGTAACTTAACTTGGCATGTTCCCAAGAAAGAAGGCAGAGAACAGAAGGCATAAAAAAAGGAAAATTATATCAAGACTGACTAAGGGAATTCGATTAATGCCTCAAAAGTTTCAGAATTGTTGAATTTGAAAGAGTGGTTCATGAAAAAGTGTTGAAAACTTTGCCTGAATGCGAGAGACACAAACGTGAAACCTTGATTCGTGTTCTTACTGATGTGCTCACAGAGACAGCCACAGAAACAGACATGTTGGTTGCATTGCTGATATCTTTTGCAAATCGATTAAAACTCGTGCGTGAGAACAATGGTGGCCCAATCAAGCAATATTGATACTTGGAATTACTTTCTTGATTGAATTAAAATCTTATTTTACTTTGTTATGCTCTCGGGGAAAAAAAAGTGTGATTTATTTTGCAACACCCCTTATCCATCTTCATTACCCAATTCCTTGATGATGAAACTTTTGTAAGAACCTTAATGAAATGAAGTGTCTTGAGTTAAAGACTGAAATGAAAGAATGCTATAGCATCTCAAGTCTCCTGATTTCTTGGGAACCACAAAAAGATGGTAGAAATTGCTACTTTTCAACTAGAAATTTGAGCAAGCTGGATCAGAAGGAAAGGAAAAGACATTGGTTGAACAGAAAGAGGAGGAAGATGAAACAAGGTAAAGACTAAAGTAAAGGACATGTTGAACCCAAGATTCCCACACATGAACAAATGAGATGATCCCTTCCCCTCCCAATAGTTGGAACGGAAATCTGGAATATAAAAAAAGTCATTGAATGGGTCACAATGACCCACCTTGCTTACTTCTACATATGGCCACTCAGAAGTGTCAAAAGGAGGAAGTAGAAGTAGTGGACATTAATGAGAAGTAGATGAGAAAAGGAAGGAAGATGAACAAATATTACTTGCGCATCAACTCAAGGAAGAACAATCAAAATATGCTCAAGAGACTAGAACTCTAATAACCAACTAATGCTGATATGCTTCTCCTGAATAAGAAAGTAGTTAAGGTGAAATTCCTTCAGAAACAAAACAATGCAGGAAAGAAGATCTTTAGAGGTCAGCTAATATGTTGCAGGAGGAGGGGATGAGCACTATGCAACACTACAATGGGCTAAAGTATCAAAAAGAACATAATAGCCATATGCCAGAAAATACATCAGTGATAGCCACAGCTAACGTAGTGTGGAAAAGTGTATACAGACCCTGACTAAAAGAAGAATTTAGGAGAGTTAATGCTTGCTCTTCTTTACATCCTAGACATTCAGAACTTGAAGTAATATAGCTGTTAACAGCATGAAAGCAATTAAACCAAAGAAGATTCTTTTGAATGTCACACGCAAGTCTACCTGATTTGAATATTTATTTTACAGTACAACATTTACTAATATATCATGCCATGTAGCCATAAACATACCATTACTGTGATATATAATTCCCTGCATAAGTCCAATACAGTCATCTACAACGTCACATGGTATGCTTGGACTACTTCCTGTTACAAAACGGAAGGCTGTAAGAAATTAAAAAAAAAGACTACATATAACTTAGTATTTTTATAACTAAAAATTTTATAAAAATACACAGATAAAAATACACAAAATGTGTTGCTAATTTCTCTTGAATCTATAAGTTTTGATGCTACTATTCCTAACGGACTGTAGATATTAAATAAAATTTTGGAATTACATTGTAATTTGCAAGTTTTGAATAAACATATTTATACATCTTTTTCAGTTCTCTACTGACTTGAGACTGAACTTTAATAAAATAGTATGAAAAATCATGGTGTATTAGCAGGAAAATTCCACTAATCAGGTTTTAGAAATCAACAACAAGATTTCTTGAAAATTGTTTCTTGTATATAGTCTCTCTTAACATCTTCATGCCTTTTTTTAAAATTTAGATCAATAAGAAATGTAATATTTCACACCCCTTAAAAAATTTGTAAAAAACTTCCCATGTAAATAGTAATGCAGTTATTCATAACTTTACAGTATTATTAATATATGCATCTCTTACTCTTGATGTCTCTTTTATATTTATATTTCCTTAACTTAGATTATTAGTTTAAAATATTTCCCTTTTTTCTTCAATTTATCAATAATTATCACCATCAGTTATATGTGTAGAGTATTTCATTTATTACATGCAATAAGTAAAATACTCTATACACATAGCTGATGGTAGATAATTTTTAATAAATTGAAGAAAAAATGTGAAATATTTATAGCTCAAAATGTAACGTACGTACAACTTTAAAAATATTATACGCACCATAACATACAGACAAAAAAAAGTTCATTTAGTTTCTCAAGGCTATCCTTGAGGAAAGTAAAACATTAATCCCATGTACCCTTTATTTTTCAGGAAAACATTAATTCACTCCTATTGAACTCTTGCAATATGCCACCCTCTGTTACTTCTAACAGCAGCTCATTCAGTCTTAATTGAAACAAAGCCTGTTTTTATCAAATCTTAAATTTCTGTCCTCTCATCTTATTGACCCCTTGGATAATCTTGAAAACTTCAATAGAACCACCTCTTACTCTTCTTTCCTCGAGAGGAAATGAGAACTCTTAATTTATCTTTACAAGGTAACATTTCCATCCCTTGAATCATCTCAGTTGTACTCTTCTGAGCTGTTTTCAATAAGTCAATATTCTTTCTTACAAAAGAAGACCAAACCCATAGGAATAACATTATGATAAAGTGAAATAAATTATCAATATTTCTTTGAAACTGAGGGATACAGAAAATGTTTCCACGAAAAATGGCATAATTTAAAAATTTACAAACTTTATGAAACATGAAGTGTATGTTTTTCTGAACCTCCAAAATCCTTGTGTTAGAAAAAAATAATTCAATCAATTCCTCAAGTTTTCAATATATTAGGAACTAACATTTTATTTATTTTTTACTTCAACATGTAGCAAAACATAAAACCTAATTATGTAATAATCCCCTTTTCCCAAAGCTCCTGCCTACTTCCACTCTTGCAATCAGAGGTTAACAATAAAACAAACAGGGCACCCCCTCTGTGTTGAATCTAGAAAATTCAAACAGAGTGCTTTAATAGAAAACTTAAGAAGTCTATAAATGTATTAGAGAAAAAGATATTAGAATGGCAAAAAAGAGTATCATATGAGAAACAGTAGGTAAAAAATGTTAACATTACCATAAAGATTTTATGTTAAAAGGGAGAACATTGATAAAAGGAATAATTTTTAAATTACAAATTATTTAATTGTGATAGACTTTTTAAAAGGTTGCTTTTTTATATAAGAGATGAACTAGCTATTGCATGCTGGGACTGAAGACATAAAAAAAAATGGTTACAATCAGGGTCTTCAAGGAGGAAAAAAGTTGATTTGACAGTTGTTACAAGTTACTTGCTCAGATAAATGAGGTCAAAGAAATTGTATAATGAGATCAAGGTTGTTATTAATAATAATACTACTGCAATAATTATGGATGGGTTTAAAAAATGGTGGTAAGAAGGTTTTGGTTTACTTTACAAAATGACTGAACATCAAAATGCTATTTTCTCATCAATTTGTACAACAGAAAATATTGTGTGGGTTCCATAATTACATCTCCTACCAAAATAATATAAAATATCATTGAATAAAGTTAGGATTAAGGCAGAGTTCATAAGATTCAAGATAAGGAATATTATATTTATTCTATGATAATGAATGAATGTAATGAAAGAGTCATTAATATTTAATGAATCCATTAAATGTCATACCAATTTTGAAGAAGAAGGAAAGGGGTAGAGAGTGTACAAAGGAACCATAAACAAGTTAGTATTTCTTGAGTAGTTTGGAAATTACAATCTATAATCAAAACAATCCTTTAAGAGGATTTAACAAGTTTCATATTGTTACGTCTCCATTTGTTAATTAACTTTATGTAACTTCGTTCCGACAAAACTTTAGCGACACAAGTTCTTTACTTAATAAAACTGGTTTATTCTTTCCGAATAT